TTAGGGAAAGTATATGTGAAAATATTAATAATTTAATAAAAAAAGAAAAAAAAAAAGCCCACGCCATTCCCTGTGTGCTCTCTCTGACTCATGCTTGTCTCTCAAGATGTGAACTCTCAGCTACTACTCCAGCACAAGCCTGCTCGTTGCCATGCTCCTGGCTACAATGGTGATGGACTCTAATCTTCAGAAACTGTTAGGCCACAATAAATTCTTCTATAAGTTGCCTGGGTCAGGGTCTGTCCACTACCTACTACCCACTGCTGTCTTAGTTACTTTTCTCTGTTGTAGTAAGATACCATGACCAAGGCAACCTAACCACTACACAAAAAAGTATAGCAAAATGATTAATTAGTATATTATTTTCACATTTTTTCTTAGTACACAAAAGGGAAACCGAAATCTCCAATATAACTTTAAAAGTGATATGTTAATTTGGTGACACTGTTTTTCCACTGGCATATACTTACTTCAAGGTAAAATATCCTTGATTTATGGAACAGTTATATTTGTACAGCATTCATGGGAATGATTTCTGCCTATGGATGAAAGGGAATGAGGTGCTCAAACAAAGCAGGTTTTTTCCATTGACTCCAGGAAGACCAGTCACTACTCAGTCCTCACTGGAAGTGCTGCTCCACTCTGTCACTCTACCCTGTGTGTAGGGAGACACCCTAGCCTCGCCCAATAGTCATGGGACAGGTGCCAGGTGGACCCGGGATTCGCCCATAAGGGCGTGGTGAAGGAAAGCCGGTGTGACTTAAGGGAGCTTTTTAAGGGCTGCACCGGAAGACCCTAGCCCTTTTCTGGCCGCACTTGCTGGGTTCCTGTAACCTCGCTCTGGCCTGCATTTTGCCCTGGTGTTTTCTTGAATAAAGGGACTTTACCATCCCGGATCACAGTTCATCTTTGAGTACACGCTGCAACATTTAATCTTCACCTGTGATAACCTTAGTTATTATAAAAATGGAAAGCAGATACAGAGCTGCAAACATCTCAACTTCTTTCAACTCTGGCTCAATTGTCTTTATGAGCTTCCGTCCTACAACTTACTATCTTTTTTATTTTTAGCTATGTGTGTGGGGTATATGCCTGTGTAGGGACACAAGTGCCTGCACTGGATTCCCTTGGAGCTGGAACTCCAGGCAGTTGTGAGTCGCCAAATGTGCTAGAAACAGGTCCTCTTTGAGAGCAGCACACTTAACCACTGAGCCATCTCTCCAGCTCCCAGTCTAACAACTTAGAAACCAAATCAACCATAGGCAGTCCTAAAAACATGAAAGCAACATGAATTCAGCAGGTCTCCAGGAGTACAAATACCTGAGCTTCTCACTCTTAAGTATCTGCAGCATCAGTACCAAGACAGACTCAAGGAGGTTGAAGAAATGAGTGTGGTGTGGACATGACCCAAGTGTTCACAAATCGAAAGAGTAGTTTGGTACAAACAGCCTTATTATGATTGCTAGTTCTAAAGTTACAGCAAGGACGGACTATATCTTGCTCTCCCAAAGGTTATTTATAAACTATTAAGAAAACAGACACAATCCTAATACCCTGAGTATGTTGGGTTAAACAAAATGCTCAAATAGAACTTAATCAAAGACTCATTTTTCCACAGATTGAGGCAAATTGACACATCTTAATCAGTCAAGTTAAATGTTTATCCAAAGTAAAATTGTAACTCCTACCATAACTGAAATTAAATAGTTACCAACAACTGTCTCTTAAGGGTCAACCAAGAGGTTAATATGAAAAAAAAACTTTTTTTTTTTATTTTACACTACATTATAAGTATTTCTATACCTTGAAAAGAGGGGAACATGATTTAAACTAATGAAAATTTACAATCTATCTAAATGATTTCCTTCTTTCCTTTAAGGCAGTGCATTCCGTCTCAAAGGAAATCATAAGCAAGCTACAGTGAAATAGAAGTTGAACACCTGTTCTGCCAAACCCTCAGCTCCAACACCCTGCTCCTCACTCTCACACACACTCTGCCCAGAACACTCCACCCACCCACACTCTGTCCAGCACACTCAGCCTGCCCACACTCTGTCCAGCACATTCTACCCATGTGTATGCCACACATGGCATCCACCCACGCCCAATCCCCTGGCAATGCTGCATCGATGCAAGGCTGAGCTGCACATCTGAAAAGCACAGCATCGGTCTGGAAGCCACAGGTCTATGATGATGCCATGATGATGGATGAGTGACAAAGAAACAAATGACACAACCCAATTCTAATAATGCTTGGACAGTGACCAGATTTCCTTCTCACAGGAACTAACATTCACGGAACTAACATGCAAAAGCACAAGAAAAAAATGCAGCCCCTTCCTTTCCAATTATGTAACAAAAGAAGAAATATACATGTCAATAGAGAATTCAACTTTTCTTTTGAATATGGTTTTACTAATTTCATCTAAAATCAGATGAAATAAAACTCAAAGAGTGAAAGATGAACTACAAAACCCTAGTTTTTATACTTGGTACATATTTTTAGAAAATTCTTGTATACTCAACTCCAATTTCTACCCACTAACAGGACAAAAGATCACTTGTATACAAGTGCTAGAATGAATAATATGAAAACAAAATAAAAATTCCAGGTGGTAACAGTGGTCGAAAAATCCAACATGAACTCTGTGCTTATAGACAGAGAGAAAAATGCCCAACCAGCTCCCAAGCAGGGGTTGGCCAAACAAACAAAAACCACGATTGCTGAAGTTGGCATCCAATGGCCGAGGGATTGTCATCATGCACACGCTGCTTCATTTACTAAAACAGTCTTCCAAACCAAACTTTGGTCAATAATAAATCAAAATAATTTTGTAAGATAGAAGAGTATACTAATAGCAAAAGTTTTTTTGATCATAATCATAAGTAACACAAGTGGTTTTTGGCTTTGTTTTTTACATGTTGTAAAAAATGCAACCATTTTACTTACAATGAAGTTAAGGGGTTACACAAGGAGACCTTGTCTTAAAAAAGAAAATGTAAAACTTCAAGCCTAGAAGGGCTTGGAGGATACATTTCAGTGGTAGACTCATCTTCCATATGTGCAAGTCCTAGGTTCAATACACAATGCTCCCCAAAGCAAAAAACCAAACTGAGATGTAGCATTCAAGGAGATAAAGACACATAAAATTGTTTTAAATCTTTTTAATACTAAGACACAAGTCAATGCAGAAAAAATTGATGAAATGTTTTATAACTGTTTGTAAGCTTGATACGTCATTTTAAAAATCTATTATGTGACTGCTCCCACTTTATGGAATTTCATTAACATTTTTCTCTCACGTTAATATTATTTTTAATTTAAAAAAGCAAGATGTTCTAAATGCTATATAGTTAGTTGGGTAGAGCTCACAACTGACTTTTCAAGTTGGTAATATTGGGGCTGGAGAGCTGGCTCAATAATTAAGAGTGCCTGCTGCTGTTCCAGGGGACCTGAGTCTTGCTCTCAGCACGTATACAGGGTGTCTCATCTGTAACTTTAACTCCTGGGGATCCACACCCTCTCCTGACCTACTCAATGACCACACACACAGACACAGACACACATGCTTATATTGTAAAAACGCACATGCATGTACACACATATTTATGCACATATACATGCAAGCACATTGTAAAAACACACATATATGCACACACACATACACACATACATTGTACAAACACTGAAGCACATTCATGAATATGCATGCACATATATGTACACACAGATGAGCACACATACATACAGAAATATAAAAATATTACATTAAAAATAAGCTGTCAAAAGATGAATGTGCTGTTATAGTGCTGCTTAGGATGACCTCATACAATTTTAAAATTTACATGTGATTCTGCATAGAAACAGTGAGTGAGCTCTATTTCAAACTATGCAATACAATTAAAATTTCTAAGTTTCCTTGTAAAGAATATGATAAATTTCTAATGTAAATTTGCCAATAAATTCATTCCATAGGATATTTAACTACTGATTTCACACATTTTAAGTAAAAATGAAAGTAAACATATTTTAGAAGTATAAAGCTAGAGGAAAGAAATTTAAGAGTTCCATAGCATTTTACATAGAAACTCTAGAAATCAGTCACCACAAGTGTAAATTCATGCTACAGAGTCACATTACTTACTTAGCAAATTGGTCCATAAGATAAATGGGGCTCAAAAATGTAAAATCAACTACAAATTATATAAAAAAAAAAAAAACAAGGCTGGTTAATGTCATGTGAACCTTGTGTCCTAACAAGGACCTTTTGCCAGGTATCACACGAAAGATTATATAATGCACCTTTAAATGGGAATCAGCCAGTGTCAAAACAACTAACAATCAGCAAAAGCAGTTCTCACTAGAGCACAGACTTCTAGTCCTTCATTACTCTTCATTGGTTGCACAGTTTGTAAAAATTCATCTATTCCCTTGATACACTTCCTAAGCAGGAGGCCAATCAGCACTCACCTCTCTCCAAGGACTGACAAACTGTGTCCGAGCGTATCGAGTCAGCATGTGGATTATGACAACCTGCCCCCACTCTTCCACATCTACCAGTAGGTTACAAAGCTTTCGGTAATTCCTGTGGATCAGATCGATTCTATCTGGGCACACTTCTTCAAAAGCCATCACCACACTGCCAGCCACCAGCTGAGAAGAAATAAGTAATAACTCATTAAAATGCACTCTCCACCCATCCAAGATCCTACTCGGGTATTCCAGTAGCATAGTCATGTTATGACAATAATATTGAAAATTTTAGTCATCCAGTTAAAATGAGCAATGCAAAAGTACCCTTTTCTTGAAGAATACCGTTAAGAACTATAAATAGTATGGAGAACAAATCTTCTGAAGAGAGATAAATCCAGGTTATTTTATTCGGTTAAATTCTAGTAATTGTTTGTACATGTGTGATTTGTTTGATTTTTGGTTTATTGTTGTTTGGTTTTTGGAAACACAGTTTCTCTTGTGTGACAGCTCTGGCTATCCTGGAACTTGCTCTGTATAGCAGGCTGGCCTAGAACTCACGGAGATCCACCTGTCTCTGCCCCCCAAGTGCTGGGATCAAAGGTGTGTGCCACCACTGTCCACACTTAAACTTTAAAGATGCTTTCTTCATCTGTAACAACATTCAGAAAAAGATTCAGGACAATACCAAAGAGCCCACTGTCAGTTTAAAGTGAAAATAGCAGTTATTCAACAATGGCTTTACATTAGGAAGTACACAAAGAACTCAGTGTTTAATGAAAAAACATTTCCAAATCTCATACATTTTAGTCCATTTGTTTTTACCAATATAATTTATTTTCAAAGAGAATACAGTGACTGAAATGATAGTGTATCATGCATAAAAATCAGTATAGTGTATTGCCAAAAGGGTTCAGTTGCCCCCAGACCAATTAATGAAATCACAAATGTTGACTTTTAAATTGTCATGCTCTTACAAATCTTGGGTAAAACTAAGATTTCTTCAGTATAAAGGTAGAGGGCAAGCAGAATATTTAACATACAAAATCTTCTATATGTGTACCATATATATGTGTGGTTAGCCAACAGTGTGATACGTTTTTGAAAAAACAAATTAGTATCATATTCTTTCTAAACACCAGGGCTTTTCCTTTTAGTATCTAAAATTTCCCCAATGACTAAAAATAAACAATTAAATAGAAGTATAACTTATTGAAATGGTACTTTTTGAAAAATATTAGCTACAATGATATTCATATTGAGTGTTTGTCCCTCTACTTGGTTACGATTTAGTTTATTAATATGCAACCAACAACACAATTGAAAGAAAACAACTCAGAATATAGACTTGCTATTATGCTAAACAAGTTTCAAGTCCTGTGGGGATTTTATGAATTACCAATCAGTATAAACGTGAAGCCGCATTTATTGACTCCAGCCCTACCCATGTACTGGTGCCTGCTGGTCCCAGCATGTATTCACCTCAATCGAAAAAGCAAAGAATTGATTATTTGTGTGAGCTAAATAAAAATGTATTATACATCTAATTTCCTATTTGCTATTGATATAGAAAGTAAGCTAAATGCATGTTTTCAATGCCATGCTTTGATATCTTCTGCATTAATTACTCTTCAAATATATTCACAGCAACTTACAACCTACGATTATGAGATTAAAATAATTTAAAAATCTCTTAAAATAACCAAGTTTACAACATCAAACTATAGAATTATTAGTATTTATGAGTTATAAAAATCTATATATTTTATATACAAATGAACAACTACTGCCATTATTATAAATAACTGATAAAGAATGTTAAACTACAAAATGAGATATTTCTTAGACTAACCTATGAAACTGAACTCAGTAAGTTTTTAAGTAATTGTCATTTTTAAATGCTATATAAAAAGGGTTTTATTAAACCCAGGAAGTATTTTATTACAAATGATTAGACAGCAAACAATGAAATGGAAAATCAGCTGCTGCAGGATATTAAATTTATCAAGACACAACAACAACCACGCAACTGTAAGGCACTACAACATCCTAAAACACCCAAGATATCCTAGGAAGGGAAGAAAATAATCATTGAAGTACAAATAAGGCTACAGGAAACACTAAAAATAAGATGTAAAAAGAACAGCATCACTAAATAACACTGGCTTTTAGATGCTCACTTCATTATATAGTGTATTTGTTTGCTTGTTTTAAACAATCTGAGCCTTTGATAAACACCAGCAGAAGAATTGATCATTTGGGTCTATTAAATGTTCAATATCCATAAAACATTCAGAATTAAAATAAAATGATCTAATTAGATTTCAAAACCAAAAATATTGGTTTCCAAAAAACAAACAGTTAATTTCCATTTCACTGTGTCAATAGTAGCTCTTCACACAGTGGGAATAAATCACTCCAACAAAACTGCAATGAGCTCATCAGATCCAAACACAGCTTTCCACTTATGTATTTTTTATATTAAAGAAATAAACGTGGTTCATTTATCTCCCCTTGGTTGCCACGTTTTTCTGTGCTGTTGCTATGAACTTCAGCCATTAGCTGTGCTCCAAGGTAAACTACATGAACCATCAACAAAAGTGACATCCCATCTATGGAGTTCATATTTTCTCTAGATTATCTATGCTAGTTGACAAGCTGGTAATGAAAAAAATCACACTAAGCAAATGGTTCCTCTAATAACAATAAATTTTCTATAAAATTATGAAGGGTACAAAACGTTTCCTTGCATCTATTTTGTCATGAATTCTAATTAACGTTACAAAAATCGGAGTGCTGGGTCATCACAAGAAGTGCATCACAGTTTGATTGATAAGATGGTGTAAGTTAGCCAGTGCTGCCAAGATTTTCTTCCCTTAAATTAATGGCCATCCAACCTGCTCTAATCATACAGCCCAAATGATATTCCCTTCTTATTTCAATTTTCTTGAGGCATGGAAAATAGGGAAGATCAGTCATTTATCTTCTAATAGCTGGATAATAGATCTATCACAATAAAACATCTGCACTAACTCGGGGGTGGGCTTTCTTCTTTTCCCCAGAACAACCAGGCTTTTACAAGCATTAAATCAATAACTTAGAAAATGGTATCTTACCCCTACAATTTAGCTGTGAACTATCAACCTATTCATTAAACAGTAGTCTATAGCTAAAATTAAAGAAACTTTGAGTCATCAAAAGTATATAAACAACTCAGCTTTTCAGGAAGCATTAATGTAATTTATCTCCCTGAGAAATTTAAATGCAATTGATGAGATTTCTTTGAAATTAACTTGAAACAAACAAACAACAAAACAAAAACACAAGAAATAAGTACTCCACCACCTTTGAGGCATTCTAAATAATCTGGTTCCATGTTTTCAATGCTCAACAAATACAAATTTCTACATTTCAAAGAAAAATAAATAAGTATTATAGACTTAAAGATACATTTATAGTGGAACATTTGGAAAGGTTTATAGTAAAAGTATATTTTGCTAAACACACAAGGCAGATGAAAGTGGTGTGAATCCAAAAATTACAGTAACAAATACTGTAACCACTGACTGGAGATGACAAATATATAGGCAAAATGTTCCCTTCTAATTCCATCTACTGTTCGTATAACCTTTCTAAATGTCTTTATAAACACAAGACACCTTCAAACAATAGTTACCTAAATGATACTACTGTGCTTGTCAGCCTGTTACCAGAATCGTGTGCCTGAATCCAAAGTGAATTCTCTTTAAGGAAAAACTACACACTTGTCTTTTTGAGCCATATGCTTCTCACACACTAACATGCCTTGGAGCTCTCAATAAGAAAACCCTCCCTAGACTAAGAAAAGCAATAGAAGGTACCTCCCTAATCAACAGAGCTTAAATAAACAAGTTTTAAATATAGTGACATTTTTAACATTCCATACTTTCAGTATCATAAAATCATTATAATGGTCCCCATATTATGCCAGTGAATAAACTCCTCAAAATGTGAAAATGATTAGATTGAATCATTTCACTGGTAAATGTTTAAAGTTTATATAATCTGTTATAGGGAGACACCGTAACCACGCCTCCTAAGGGCTGGCTTACAGGTGTGCTTGACCACGCTTGGGCACGCTCTGGCTTGTGTTTGGCTGGTATTTATCTGAATAAAGATATCTTGAATCGACAAGCCATCTCCTTCACTTGGCGCATGCCGGTAGGATTCACTGAAAGAGTCAGCAAGGCAGGGAGGCCAGAGAAGGCCCCCCGCCCCCCACATGTCTGCAGCCCCTTAAGAACCTAACACACATCATCCTGACCTCACCTTGACCACGCCCCTGACAGGCGTGGTCAAGCACACTTGTAGCCAGCCCTTAGGAGGCGTGGTTACAGTGTCTCCCTACAATCTGTGATTCTTTAATTTTTTTAAAAAAATGTATTCTTTCACCAATGCATGCATATGCACTGTACTCTGATAATACACCCCCATTGTTCTCTCTTACCCCCAAACCCCTCCTCCCCAACAAGTCCCATCCATAATTTAAAAAGGTTTTTTTTTTCCCCCGGGGGGAGGGGGGGAGAGGGAGGTTCCATGATTCTTTGTTAATTTTAGTGTTATGTTATCATTATAAGTATGGGTAGAATGTACCTATCTTCTCTCAATGAGTATTACAAATAACCAATAGAACAAGTTAAAAAACACAGATATAAGAATAGATATAGAATATATGGATTGTTTATCTATAAGTTATATATAGATATGTCTATATAGATACATAGATAGATATAATGTATAGGTAAGAATATAACCACACAAAAGAGGAATAATAAATGAACATTTTTAAAAGACTACTTAATACTTAAATACTGGTTAGACAAGTTAATGGTACCTAGCCAAAGATGAATTCAAATCCCTTACTCTAAATCCTTAAAAAAAATGGGGAGGGAGGGTTAGGGGGAGCCAAGCTGAGGATTTAGCCCACTCTATAAGATGCTTGCCTTGTGAGTATAAGGACCTAGGTTCAATCCCTAAAACTGTCATAAGAATACCCATGTAGGTGGCACATGACTGGAATCCCAGGGGTGGGGAAGGGCAACCATTCAGGTGGCACATGACTGGAATCCCAGGGTGGGAAGGTAGAGTCAGGAGGATCCTTAGGGCTCCCTAGCCAGTCAATCTAGGTACTTGGTGAGCTCAGAACAGCAAGAGATCTTGTATCAAAAAACAAAGTGGGAAGGAAAACCTGGCTGTTAAAATGAATGTCCCAAATCCCATAAAGGTCTCCATGGGAACAGTGACTATAGAGAGAAAACACCCCCTCCAAAATAGTACCAGATATCAAACTACTATCACTAATAATATAGTAAACAATGTAAGAACTAAGTATTAAATATCAAATAACTACTAAAGATATCAATTCAATATTTTGTCCTTATTTTGGAAATAAATGATCAGGAAACAAACATTGGCAATTGAATTTACAAGAAATTATGTCCATTATACTCCTTTGAACCATCTTCTTTTCAGGTAGAATATTTTTGACACCTAGTGCTGTGGAAACAGGTGGAGATTGTGTATATAATAGCTATTTAAACTCAAAACAACTTTATGAATTAAAAGTTATAAACCCTACAAAGACATAATGGAACATAAGACAAACGCTCATACCTAAGACTGTAGCTCACACCCATGATGATAAGATCAGCCTAGCAGCTTGGTGTGATCCTCTTCTCTCCATCTCCCATGTGCTAGGATCAAGACAGGAGGATTGCAGCAAGTTCAAGGCAAGCCTGGTCTACAGAGCAAGTCTGGTACCAGCCAAGGAGCCAAGGACCTTGTTTCAATGAAACAACACAGCATAACAACAAAAGGCCAGGGGGAAGGAACAGATACCCTATCTGTCAAGATGTGTGGACATTTGGAAGTTTTGCTTTTGGTATAGCCTCCAAATCCTCTCCCCCATTCCCCTGTTCTGTTTTGGGGGTTTTTGTTTGTTTGTTTTTTCAAAACAGGGTCTCACTATGTAGCTGTCCTGGAACTGACTGTAGACCAGACTGACTTTGAACTCACAGAGATTCACCTTCCTCAACCTCCTTAATGTTGGGAATAAAGGTGTGCCACTACACCCAGCTACCTCCAAATTTCTTTAAATTTACGATGGAGCAGAAATAATGGCAAACTACATATAAATTCAGGAACTGCTTCTTCTAAATCTCACCATTCTCCACAGTATTTAGCAAATGTCCTATAGACAAAAGAAAATAAGTACTTTTAAAACTACAATTAAAAGCCAGGCATTGGTGGCGCACGCCTTTAATCCCAGCACTCAGGAGGCAGAGGCAGGCAGATCTCTGTGAGTTCAAGGGCAGCCTGGTCTACAGAGTGAGTTCCAGGACAGGCGCCAAAATAATACAGAGAAACCCTGTCTCGAAAAACAAAAAAAACAAAACAAAACAAAACAACAACAATAACAAAAAATACAATTAAGTTATGAGCATTGATAACAAACTTTGTGTTTGGATCCCTTAAACAGACATGCCTGTCATGGTGTAGACAAAAAGAAGCATGATTTTTCTCGTTACTTAGTGAGTTGATCTATATTTGATACCTCCTATATATCAACTATGCATAGAAAGATACAATGATGATTTCTAATATATTCTACACTGAAGATGTTTACATGATTTAGGAATAGAACCCAATAATTGCCATGTATGACTGACAGCATAATGATACTGTCAAGATAAGCAGTAAGGAAAATAAAGGAGATGCAGTATTTACTAAAATATTCCTTTAGTGCAAACAAGCAGTAAAGGAGGAATGAAAAAAACACAAGACAGAAAAGCAAGTGAAAAGGCAGCTAAAAACTCAACAATTCAACCAACATGGCACGAAGTGTAAGTGAATCAATTATTCCAATCAGAAGACAGTTACTGTCAGATTTAATTCAAAGTCAAAAGGCATCTATATATGCTACCTATAGAAGGCAACCAGATTAAAAAATAGAATTTGGACAGGTAATAGAGCTGCATGCCTTTAATCCCAGCACTCAGGAGGCAGAGGCTGGTGGATCTCTGTGAGTCCAAGGCCAACCCAGTCTACAGACCAAGTTCCAGGTCAACCTGGGTTACACACAGAGAAACTTTGTCTCAAAAAACAAAAAAATATACACTTTGTGTGAAAACAATCATAAATCAGACTGACTATACATAAAACAAGAGACATTATTAAAGATAAAAGCAGACATTGATACATAATAAAATTATTATAAACATATATATTAATATCAGAGCTCCTGAGTACACAAAGCAAACACTGACAAAACTGAAGAGAAATTCCAATACCCCACTTTTCAATATGAACAACAGGCATGAGCCTGCAAATAGTTCAGTGGGTAAAAACCTACCACTGAGACCATTACCTCAGTTCAGACCCAGACCCCATGATGGAAAGAAGGAACCAGATCTGCAAGTAGTCCTCTGACTGCCATATACACTCCATAGCAGGTGTACCCACATACATACATATGCACACATACAAAATAGATGAGTATAATTAAAAGAATAAAGGAGCCAGTGACTACTATGTTAGAGACCTGCTGGATGGCAACAGTCCATGTTCCCTAGCCATGACGCATGATGACTTCCTAAGTAGTCTGAGTTGTAAAAGGTAGATACAGAAGCCCTGAGATACCAGCCTTCAGCCACCCGTTCACACAGCCATAGTTTACCTCTATTCCTAAGTCTTATCTACCAATGCACACATAAATTGAGCACAGAGAAAGGATATAGGTGGATACACACATTCTCACAAAACTACTCATTTTAATTAGAAACCAAAAAAAAGAGCCTTCTTCAACTATAAATTTTTTAGGGAAGAAACATTTTGAGAGCTGTTTTACTATTTTAGAAAATGTGCAGAAGCTGGGTATCCTAGATCATGTCTGTAACCCTAGCATTTGAGAAACCATGATCAAACTGCTATGAAGCAGAGGCCAATGTGGTAGAAACAGTAAATTCCAGATTGTCCTGAGCTGCTTATGATATCCGGTCTTAAAAACCCAGCAACCAACAAACTAACAGCAAGAACAAAAGGAAATAGAACATTTGTAATACTAAAATCCCCTCTCTAATGTTCAATAGGTCTTTGATACTTTGTTTATTTGAGGTTGGGGGTTTGTTGTTGTTGTTGTTCTTGCTGTTGTTGAGACAGGGTCTCACACTGTAGCCCTGGTAACACAGAACTCACTATGTACACCAGGCTGACTTCAAACTCACAGATTGCCTGCCTCTCTTACCCAAGTATTGGGATTAAAGGTGTGCACCAATATGCCCAGCTTTAATAATTGAGACATGAACTTCATTAATGATTAGAGCATTATAGAAGCAACAGAAATAATTCCAGCAAATCTAGCATGGTAAATCATAGTAAAATAAAAACACACGTCAGTGACACCAAAAGATAATACTCACAGTGCTCTTATCTTTCAGAAGCTTCTCAATGACTTCAATCAACATCTCCTTCTGCTCTGGATCAAGACTGAAATGTTAAAAATAAGTAAGTCACGTGCATTTATTGCCCTTCATTCTAATATCCAATGACATTTATCACTTCAAGAATGCTGAGGTTGGCTGGGCAGTGGCGATGCCCACTTCAATGCCAGCACGCAGGAGGCAGGGGCAGGTGGATCTCTGAGTTTGAGGCCAGCCTGGTCTACAGAGTGAGCTCCAGGACAGGCAGGGCTACACAGAGAAACCCTGTCTCAAAAAAAACAAAACAAACAAGGTATGCTAAAGTGTTGTAAGAGAACAGTGAGGTTCCCAGACACAGACACTTAGTAAGATGGGGTGGGTTTTCCAGTCAGTGGGTTACCTTTCCTCTCTGAAGCTGCCCATGTTAACTAAACTAGGTGTCAATCACTGCCAGAGCCAGCTGGAGAACTGTGAGGAAGTAGCTGAAAGTACCTACTGAAAATTCTTTTTTTATCTCAAGGGAAAAATGTGAAAGACAGTAAATGTTTTTAACTCTGGTTGTCTAACAGCCAAAACCAAAAAGAGCACTTCTAAATAAAACCTAATTACCTTAGCCTGCTAATGGAAACACACATTATGAAGCTGTCATCTAAACCCAAGGGCAAATGGGACAGACTATGCGAAAACATCTGGCAGACCATCACAGTGCGGGACAGAGAGTGGACAGTGAGCTGCTACCTGGCCACTAGGTGCACTTTTAAACCATTACTCCTACTTTACAGTTCTTTTTAAAAGTTTTATTGCATGTATCTATTCAGGGGGAAAGTTTCTACACAGAGCATGAGGTGCGTGTGGCAATCAAAATACAACTGATTATTTGGAATATGGTTGATTTCTACCTTAGAGATATGATATGCTACTCACAAGTCCACACATCTGCTGATTTCATGCATTTAACTTGTTTGACACAGCACTGAGAGCACACCAGAAACAAAAGTGGTAGCTTGCAGATAGATGACAGAAAACAGCAACACATCATGACATATAATTTGTTCTAGACAGTATTTTTTCCACAGATATCATGAGATTATATGATATTTGCTATAAATGTCAATAGCATATAATTTAAAAATCACTGAGTGGGGGAGAAAGAGGTTGTTCTTCCGTGGAACCCAAGCGCAATTCCCAACACCCACACAGTGGCTCACAGCCATCTAACACTATCTTCTGGCCTCCATGGATACTGTATGCACATGATGCACAGAGATATATTTGGGCAAAACAGCCATACACAAAAAATAAAGGTTAAAAAAAATTAGACACTATATAGTAAGACCCTGGCTCAAAAAAATCACTATGAAAAAGGTATAATAAGATATCTCTGTTCAAGAATCACAACACTTCACAGAGTGAGCAGCAGAAACAAAGATGAAAAGAAAATAGTTTTATAAGTAAAACACATGAAATTCTACTCTATAGTAAATAAAACATTCTTTCTCCTCTCTCCCTCTCCCTTCCCCCCTCCCCCCTCTGTGTTTCATGTATGTAAGTATGTGATTGCATATACACATTGGGAAGCCAGGGAAGGACACTGGTGTCTTCTTCAATGGTTCTAAGCCATATTGCCTTGAGACAAGGTATGTCACTGAAGCAGCTGCTCACCATGTCAGCTAGGCTGGCTCACCAGCCAGCTCCCAGGACCTACCTATCTCTGCTCTCCCCTCCACCAGGACACTAAGTTTGGAGAATTTGCAGACATAGCTAACTAGTTTTGTAAACCTTGGGTGCTTGGGTTTGTACTTAGGCTTCATACTCACTGAGCCATCCCCCAGTCCCCTCTATTTTTTGACAACACATACATATGTGCTCATATGTAAGACACATTATACAAATGAGAATTCAAACTCTGATTAAAGCTATGAAACCTAGAAGTAAACAGAGGCCCTAATAAGCTCAGAAGTAAATGTACTCATAGGGGCTCAATAACCAACACAAAAGCAAAGACATGCAAAGATTACGTGTAGGAGGAAAAAACACACATACACACACATAGCACTGGGCAGTGGTAGCACATGCCTTTAATCCCAGCACTTGGGATGCAGAGACAGGTGGATCTCAGTGAATTTGAGGCCAGCCTGGTCTACAAAGTGAGTTCCAGGACAGTCAGGACTGTTACACAGAGACTCTGTCTGGAAAAAACATTAAAAACATGCGCGCATGCACAAATACACACACACACACACACACACACACAAATTTATTTACTTAGAAGGACAGGCTAGAACGTACCTCTGGATTACAATAGCCTATGTAACACCACAGATGCACACTGTGATCAGTAAAGCACCTACCTGTACAACTTCTGTATAGCATGGGCTGCATTCTTCCTGACATATGGTGACAGGTCAGCCGAAGCCTCCTTAATAGCCAGCATCATGATAGGCACAATAATTGGCACTCTGATACTTGACAGAACTCTCAAGGCACTTGCACGGATTAGCTGATTTGGGTCCTAAAACAGAGTGAAAATACCCATCAAATTTTCAAGCTTAGGCTTTTCAGTACCATACAGTTAGCAGATATTGCAGTGCTAACCAACAAGAAGAGCCTTTGAAAGCAGGCAGTGGTGTCTGAAAACAGGTAAAAAAAAGGAAAAGTAAATGTGTCTTTTCTAAACAGTGTTTTAAAGAAAAGTGGTGGGTACAATTCTCGTTGGCTATTTATTACTAAATGTACTAGACTTTTAATGTTCTTTAAGAATGCTCCACTATATTATCTTTACATTTTCAACAACCGGTAGGTACAACAATAAGCAGTCCTTCGGTACTGAGCAACCATCAAATAGACATAAAGGAACAGAAGACACAACTTCTGTGGCAAAGTCCTACATGGCTACAGAGGTCATTTTCTAAGGCCACCAAATCTGCATTCTGGGAGGCCCTTTAACTCCTCCAAGCCACAGCCAGGCAGGTTAGTAGATTATTGTCCCATCTCTTTAAAGGACAATCCTCCAACTGTGCAGACACTTTGCCATTATCTACCTGCTCGCTTATCATTTACCTTCAAAGCTCGCTGGAAAGTGCTAATGGACAGGAGCGCCAGGTCCTGCTGTTCCTCGGCGTATCGGACGAGGTAAACATATACCAACTTCTTGATCTATTTGGAGGGGGGAAAAAAAGTCATTCACTCCTACCAGGATGAAAATTTAAAACTCAATATTTTATAAACCAAAATCCATTCTCAATTTTTCTCAAGTAAGTAAGTGGATCTGGTCACAGCTCAGCCTGTAAAGCAGATACTATTTTGTGTGACAATGAAAGCAAACGAAAAAGCTTGTGAAGTAAGCATTTTTATAATCCAATCCATAGTGTAACATCCATCCTCTCAATGTATCTCTTCCTTTCACATTGAGTTTGCTTAATCTCTGAAAAATAATTTGTATAATATCAAAATATCAAGTAACTGGCAAAAAAAAAAAAGTTACATGTAAACAGCATGGGCCCTCACCATCTGGTAGAGAAGCTTACATGTCTACATCTATCAAATAGCCCCAACTCTTTTAATGGTAGCAGTCACATTCCAATGGATATTACATGATATCTTCAGCTTAATAAGGATAATATGTGAAAATAATACCAGCTTAATATAATAATTCCTAAGAGACTAGACTGGTCAGTGTTCTGGAAAAATCTTTAAAGGCAATTTAATGAGGTCTACAGCTCTTCCTTCACCCCAGTAGTGGTGGCGGTAAAAGTGGAAGAGGAGGTGATGACTGGTGGTGGTGGCAGTAGCAGTGGTCACGGAAGAGGTGGAGGTAGTGGTGGAAAAGGTGGTGGTGGTGACGCTAGTGGAGAAAAAGGTAGAAATGGATGAGGTGATGGTAGTGGTTATGGAGGAGGAAGAGGAGGTGGTGATGGAGGAGACAGAAGTGGAGGAGGAGGGGGTGGTGGTGATCATGGAGGAGGGGGTGGTCATGGAGGAGGAGGTGGTGGTGATAACAAGAACCCAGGGTCTTGTGCACACTAAGCACACACTATCACCAGGTTACTCTCTCAGCCCCCATATGGTTTTAGGTTCCTTCACTATGCTGTTTGTTCCCTGTAAACACACTCCAGTGTCTGTTTCTCTCAGTGTGGCACTCCAAACTAAAATGAGATCTAAACAGAACAAACTAGGAAAGAACACTGTTCCTGGTGAAGCCTCCCCTAATACAACTAAGGAGGCATTAAAATTATCCACTTTCCCAAGAGCAATGTTAGAAAGCCCCACTATACCCACTTTCCCAAGAGCAGTGCTGGGAAGCCCTACTCTATACACTTCCCAAGTGCAGTGCTGGGAAGCCCCACTGTATACACTTTGCAAATGCAGTGCTGGGAAGCCCTACTCTATACACTTCCCAAGTGCAGTGCTGGGAAGCCCCACTGTATACACTTCCCAAATGCAGTGCTGGGAAGCCCCACTGTATACACTTCCCAAGCATAATGCCAGTAATCCCCACTGCATTTGAACAGCTGTGCTTTTAAGCTTTCTAGTTTCAATCTCTTAAATGAAAAGTAAAACTGTGCATTTATCTATAAGAAAGTTCAGCATCCGAGACCTGGCTCTTCAAAGCATCTTGTTGACGTCATTTCAGACATTAATTCTATGATTTAACCTGCTTAACCACCTGTCACCTTCACAGCATCATAAACACAAATGAAAACTTGGTAAGCATACTTTCTATACTCTCATATTAGTGAATTATATATATATATATATATATATAAATGTTACAGATGAAACTAATTACAAAAAAAATCTCTAAGTATTCTTCACAGCTAACAGTTCCACAAAAATCTTAAAAATAACATCCAACATCTCTGACCCAAGCTAATAATGTACCCCAAACTTCCTTTTTCATCAAACCGAAACAATCATTGACTATAACTTGACTTTGGTCTCAAACTGTACTCAGGTTATCCCTGATAGCCTCTCCCCCACCAAATTTCACTTAAAATAATCTATGAGACCAAAAATTAAAAAAATAAAATGCTGACTAATACACAAACAATAAACTATACATACTAAGCAACTGCTACACAAAATAAAGCAAGTCTATATTCAGCAATGAAATTTTCATAAAGGATTTTAGCATGTTATATGGCATAAATGATAATAAGATCTCATCTCTGCTTGACTCAAAACAAGAAACAAAACAAAATCACAACCAGTTACATATATACAGGAGGATGCAGACAGGGCTCCACTCTAGCTCACTCAGGTTAGTCAATCACAGCAATCCTCCTGCTTCGGCCAGCAACATCTAGGACTACACGTATGCCCTACAGTGCCAGGCTGAGCTAGAAACACTTTTCAAGTTTCTGTATTTCTAGGAAAAGAGGTTCTTCTGTAGTTCCGACAACCCACAGCCAGCAGAAAACTGACATAAGCTTGCTCAAAAGATCAACAAAAACTCACCCAAATAACAGCTTTTTCAAGTCAACAATGTGTGGCAGCCCCCTTGCCATGACAGGAGCAAACTCACTCCAATCATGCCTCTGAGGCTAAGCTCATTCTCACAAGTGTCCACACTTCTACAGATGACACCAATCCACTCAGGACACTGAAAGTCCACCCTTCCCAAAAATGTCCCTTAAGATGAATAACTCTGTGTTCAAAGAAAATGTATCTAGAAAACAAGGCTGTCTCTTGGTATGGTGAGCAACAGACTCACTGTCTTGCTACTACAGCTTCTATGTGTTTCATGGCCCTTCAACATAACAAAGCCCCTTGAACTTCTAGTTGGGTGATGATGGTCCAAGTAAAATCAACACATACACTTTCAAGCATTTCGGTTACCAAACTCAAGAAACTCAACATCAGTACAATCCTATTACTTATAAATAATCCATATTTTAAATTTCCAATATCATATATGTTAGCACACTTTCTTCAATGTATGCTCTGAGCTGAATGGGAACACCAAGTCTTGCCTTTCATCCGAGGAAGCTCTTCAGGGTTTCTTCTCCAAGCACTTTTATCATCCCAGCCAGTGTTCCAATTAACCAGGAAATGCCTAGCTATAAAAGAAAAGCACTCACTGGCTCTGCTTTTACTTTTTATTTTTCCCTTATTCTTCACCTCGATCTCTCTAACTTCCCAAGTTAGAACTTGCTGAGTACTTTAAGGCCTGCCACCTACAATGCCACTACTCATTTAATGCTCACATCCCACTAAGTACAATTGCTATCTCCCCTCAAGGAAGCAGATCGGCCGATGGTCACAGGATGTGTCCAAGGAGGGTAGGGGCACATTCCCAACTCCTACATGTTCTGGCCAATGAAGACAGTCCTCCAATTTTTCTATTAAAATATTCTCTAAGAAAAGGAGTTAGTACCCTTCCCCAGGACACCTGAAAACCTAGTAAAATTACACAATCCAAGAATAAAATTTTCATAAAATATCAGCTTTTTTTCCCTTTGAGACTAGACCTCCCTAAAGCCTAAACTAACCAGGAACTCATGATCCCTTCTTGCCTTGACCGCCTCAGTCCTGGAACTATGGAAGACTATTTCCAGATCTCTTGCCCTTTAAGGAAGGAAAAAAAAACATTTTTTTTAATTTATAGATGCTTTAAATCATCTAAATTTTAATAAATCAGGGCCCAAATTCACGCACAGTGCCTAGCATACAGTTTTGCTATGAGGAACCTGTCTCTTAACTCCAAGTGCAGATCTGCACTGTGGAGCCTGGCCTGGCTGTTCCTGTTCACAAGCCAACAGGAGATGCTATTCTATGACATTAGGGCGCCTCACTCCAGGATCCCTGTCAATATTCCATAACCTCAGGGAACTTTGCTCCAGGATCCCTGTCGACACTATGACATCAGAGTGCCTCATCCCTGGATCCCAGTGATACTCCATGACATCAGGGTGCCTTGTTCATGCATCTCCACCTCTATTACCAGTGAACTTTCAGTGAAATTCCCAATCAGACTCCATATGATTTCTTTTGTTCAAATAGTTGCTTCTCAAACTTCAGAATTTGCACAATTCAAGAATAAACAACCCATGTAAATACCATTCCATTAAATGATCTTCTCAAGTGACTTTTTTTAACATAAGATACAAACCATAGGTTCCAAAACCAAGCAAGACCAATTTAGGTAGAAACCAAAACCAGTTAAAGGAAGTCAATTTAAAAGTGAAATAAGCCAAAAGATCCAAACCATAACTAACATTTTTGATTCAAAACAATTTTTTTAAGTAGTTGGTGTCATATGATTATTGGAAAACAGATGACCAGAACTCCCCAACTAGAGTTTTAAGTTCCTTAGAATACAAAGCTTTGTATCAGGTAGCAATAAGATAATATTTATTACTCTGTATTTTCATTGGTCTTTATTAATAAACCAAATACCCCTTTTCTCACACACAAAAAAAATACAAAGCTTCTAGAAAGCAACCTATATCCACAAGTATTGACTGATCAGTTGGCAGGCTAATAGCAAGTTCACATCTCAGTCAGAAAGTTCTCAAATCACCTTAGAATGAATGTGCTTAAATTAAACTGTGTACAGCCAGGACTCATCAGACTTCAAAGAAAGAGCTCAGTAACTGCCAGATGATTCGCATCTCAACCCAGTGTCACAGGACTGACAAAAAGCAGGGCTTTCCAAATAGGTTAGTTACAACATCTAGGATCTAATGTCCCCAGCAGTTCTAAGTCAATGAATAGCAACATCTAAAAGCCACCGATACACAGGAACCATGACTATTGGGGTGATTATGTAGCTTGTTTTGTTTGTTTGTAATGGTCACTTAGAAAGTATTCTTTGTCCCTACAAATTATGTTCAGAGCTGATGCTACACTTCACAGCAAAATGTTAAAGGAAAAGCTTGAGTCCACCCTGCCCTGATCTCCTCGGGGTTTATTTCTCAACAACACGTTTGTTTATCAGGAGGGCCAGCTAGCTTTAAAACTGTATTATGAACTTCAGATGCATCTAGGATTTGTAATGGTACACTGAAACATTCAGCACCACAGCTGGGCTAGCAGGCTTCACTATAATTACTCACTATTGGAGAAGGATTTCTGAGACTGTTATAGCAAAAAGCATAACAATATTAAATCACAGAAGGTTGCAAAACACTAAATTTGTTCCAGTTCTGTTATAAGAATCAATCAATATTGACCACAAGAGGCCTATGCACTGCCAGGCTGCAGGTGTGCGCAGAAAACCTACTTTCCCTGAGACCATTCTGTGACCAGGAATGGGAGTAGTTAGAGGTCCGTGACTACGCCACTCTCTGACCAGTTACTTTCATTCAATGTTACAACACTGCTTGCTGTAAAGCTAATCATAGCAGAGCCCCAGCAGTCTGGAGGAACACAGGCAGATCTGTTTAATTAGCTTATCGATACCACTACATCAAACTTCATGAGCTATTGACTGAAGCTTTGATTATTTTTGTACTATAAGCACTGACTGCTTACTAGGTCACTTGTGGTATCATCTGACATCTAATGCCAGGTGACGTATTATACAGCTCACCTGTGAAGTTAAGGCAGCATACACTTATAAAAATGAAATTTCTCACTCGGCAGCAAGGAAACATCAAGCAATTCTCTCAGCACAGATTTCTAAGAAGCTTATATCAGTTTTTCCATAAGAAGATTAAGTTTGTTTTTTAAAAAAATCATAAAGCTTTAAAGAACAAAAGATATCAAAACAAGCAGCCCAGGGCTTAATGGAGGGATCAGTGGTTAAGGGCACTTGCTGCTCTTGCAGAGGACATGGCTTCAGTTTCTAGTACCCATATGGTGACTCACAACCATCTGTAACTCCAGCTCCAGAGGATCCAACATCATCTTCTGGCTTTCATGAACACTGTTCACACATGGTACAAAAACATACACATAAAATTAAGTCTTTAAAAGGAAAAGACCAAAAATAATGTTTCTATTAAAACTTTTCTTGTAGAATATCAGCCAACATACCAGAACCTGAGAGCAAAGGAGGAAACAGAACAAACAGCTAGGTCTTCCTACTGATAACTACTTGCCAAGCTCTGAATGAGCCAGAATTAACACAAATTTTTCTGTTCTCACAATAAGAAGTGCAGGAATATCAAGGCCACCAGCACTACAGATTTGTTCATTCCTACCCATTTCTACAACACCACCAAAAGATGGTCAACATACTGGATGCCACGGTTAATCCCTGATGTTAATGAGGGGTCAGACACTAAGGTCAGTAAAAAACGCACCAAACACAAAGGATGGTGCTCACTGCCAGGGCAACCGTCTGGGATGGCTCCCTGACTTTGGATGATGACTGCCAAAGATCTGCCATATGACTTTAGTAAGTCCTCCATCGTATCTTCATTGTGAAATACTGACAGAAACCCAGAGTTAGCCTTACAGAGGTATTCACTGTGTGAAACACTAACAACCTCAGCCCAGATGTGCTTTCTACAGATTAGTAATCAGCACTGCTCAAAGACTAGTCCTGTAACAACAGGACAAGCCTCGACCCTGCTTCCCATGTTTTAGAAGTCAAATCTGCTCAGCAGCAGAGTACCAGCAAGCCTTAGGCCTGCACCTAAGCAACATGAAAGCACCCGAGGCCAGGAAGAAACCTGGGAATGCAATAGCAGGACAGATCCAAGATGGTGCAAAAAATACTACTACACATACCCAAAATGCCTTTTGATCAGAGAAATGAAATTAAGTGAAAACAAAATTTTCAACGAGATATCACTTCATACACTCTAAAGAGTCATAATCTAAAATAGGGACATTTTAAAAAGTTAAACAGGAAGCTAGAGATGTTCTCAGTGGTAGCATACTCATCCATTATACACAAAGCCCTGAGTTCGATGCCAGAATCAAAAAGATGAAAGAAAGAAAGAAAGAAAGAAAGAAAGAAAGGAAGGAAGGAAGGAAGGAAGGAAGGAAGGAAGGAAGGAAGAAAGGAAGAAAGAAAGAAAGCAGGGGTAGGGGAGTGTAAAGGGAGAGGGAGAGATAGAGGGGAGAGGAGGGAGGGAGGGTAGGGCAGGGGTCAGCCAGGGCATGAAAAGTAGAACTCACAAGCATTACTATTTTAAACATAAAATGATGCTGTAGGATAGAAATGGTTGTCAGTCAGTTCATGTTATCACAGAGTCTTCGTATTATCAGCAACAGCAGGCTAAGGTCTATGTCCACAGACCTGAGAGGGAAGGTCCACACAAACACCTGGACACTAATGCTCAGAGCAGCACTACTCCTAATAAACAGTCAAAAGGAGAAATATTCTAAATGTCCATCGATGGATGAATACACAAATCATAGGTACCCATACAGTAGAATGCTGTTCAGCCATAAAAATACATGGTTAGTGTCAGTCAACTAAGAACTGCCCACATTCCAGACACAGGTTCCTCCTCCCCACCTTCAATGACTCAGAGCCTGGCTCCATCATTACTAATATGACATATTTCCACCGTCACATATTTTCCCTATGAACATACTCCATAGCCCATATAAAGCCCACCATGACAACCTAGCCTCCAATGTCTATTTTTCCATCCCTGTTGAGAGGCAACTACTTTGAGTCCCCCATCGCACCCACCCCTCCACTACCCATAAATCTCTTGTGTGAGGTCTGTTGCATGGTGTGATTTTTTATAGAATTCTTGGTCCCAATCATAGAGAAACTCTTTTACCACAAAACCTTTTCAGGTTTTGTGGTAAAATGAAGAACCATGAAAACATGCTAAACGGAGTCAGCTCTGCTCAGCAGGGCTCTGTAGATCTTTGGTCAGGTCGGTTTAGTCAGGCCTGAGTACAGTCTCAAACAATGACCTCGGTATGACTTCATTTAAAATACTGTTCACATGAAGTGCCCAGAATAAGCAAATCCATAGACAGAAGGTAGGGGGAAAAGGGAGTGACCACCAGTCATCACAGGATTTCTTTTAGAGTAAGGAAGGTGCCATGGAATTGTGATAAATTCTATGAACACACTAAAAAAATTACTCAACTCAAAATGAAACTGAGTAGAATGAACCTTGCCACACAGGAGAGTCCACTGGGTAACAATGCTGGGGCTTGAGACTGCAGTTAGGACTCAGGGGAAAATAGTGGTGCACTGCTTAGGCCTGAGAGTGAACCCAGCAGTACTATGGCATGTGTATGGGACCGCAGCCATTAGCATCAAGGTCTGTGCTTTCCTCAGGAACAGAGCTGTGTTTACAGTCGCCACCAATGGCAGAACTAATCTTAGTTCCAGTTTTACTAAACACACTGGAGATATGCAAACCTAAAATTAAGTCACTGGGCCAAAAATTAAATGCCACTGTCTTTAGGAATTCATTAAAGCTCAACCTGAGTGAATGACTGTCACTACAACTTCAATTTTGCTTTTCACATTTTCCACTCAAAATCCAAGTCTAAATTCAAACCCACTTGTTGGTGTACTTTACCAATATTAAGACTTCAGACATCTTACCATAATAAAAAGTCAATGAATTTAAATGCATTGACTTCCAAAGTAGCGGTAAGTATGTGGTTGGCTTACACGACAAGAGTAATAAAAACAATAAAGCAAACAGTACCTCGATGTTTTTGCTGGCCACATTCTTCACAACAGCAGGGAAGAGCTCTGATGCGTTTTTCCCCTTCGCAATCATCTAAGGGTTAAAGAGGAGAATTAGGAACTTCTTAGTAATCTGAAAAGACAGCTATTCTGGGAAACTCTACACATATTAAATATTGAAAGATTCTGTCACAAAGCAAGCTACTGTATTAACAGTTCAACTTTTCCAGTGTCAATTACATCCCAACTACACACACCAGGAAAACATATCTTGTGTTTCAACATAATAGCCAAATATATAGACACACAAAGGGAAAATATACAGCCAAACATGGAAGTGCACTCCTGTGATCCCAGGGAGACAGAGGTGAGAGGATCAGATGTTCAGGGTCAGCTTGCCTATGAGACTCTGCCAAAAAAAAAAAAAAAGGCAGGAGGAGAAAGAAGAACAGAATATACAGAGTAAGTTAAGGAATGTATAGAAATGGGTACAGTATTTTCCTTGGGCTAACTGTATTGCAAACATCCTTTCACTGTGTGCTCATCCTTATTTTCCAGGTTCTTACATTAAACTTGTAGCACATGTGAAAGGGCCCAGGAGATTTTGTAAGCTAAATCTCTTGGCTTTCTTGGAGATTCTCCTAGTTCCCAAGTATAATTTTTCAGGAGTCTCTTCATTCTGTCCACTGAAGATCTGTATACCACCATCACTTCCAATGCCCCCAATTTCAAAGTTTCATTCACTCTGAGGACTCCCACTTATACAAATAAAGATCAGTCTCTCAGAACTCCATGCCAAACTCCCAGGCCAAACTCAGCCTCCCTAACTGCACATCGGAAGCTGCCTCTCTCACCCCAAAGTCTCTGCCTAAAACCAAACTTGGTCTTCAAGAAAAAAGATTTTAAAAACAAGCAAACAAAAGAAAGATTACATTAAAGGTGGAATTTATTATTTATTCTTTCCACAAATTCTCTTAGACAACAGAAAACACAGAAAGGTATTGCTCTTTTCTTACATCTACACAGTAACCAGGTCCTGCTGCTAATTCTTCCATCAGGTAAGGTCACTCTTTGCTGCTCTGATCCTACCTCAGGTCAGCATCACTACTACAATAGACTCTACTACCCATAACACATACCACAGACAGCTTAATGTGGAATCCTACTTTGAGGACCAGGGGTGTATGTAGCTCATTGGCAGGTTTCTCTAACATGCATAAGGTCCTAGGTTCAATCCTAGCACCATGACAGGGGAAGAAAAAAAAAAAAAAGCCCCCCAACCAAATCCTCCATATTGCACATGTCAGCCCACCTCAAAAGATTTCAAAACTGTCTGACAATATTTAGTCCAAACTAATAGCACTGAAATCTCTTCTGAAGCTCCTTGGTCTAATGCTGTTAGCCAAGTATTCATCCCTGGCCCCTCTCTGGTTCTATTACTATCACATTTCCAACCAATTCATTTGACTTTTCTACATTCTACCTTTCTAAGATATACCTAGACCATCCCCAAGGATCTGACTCTTACCTCCCACACTAAAGTCATCCCTGAGGACCTGACTCTCACCTCCTAAGCTAGAGTCATCCCTGAGGATCTGACTCTCACCTCCCACAATAAAGTCATCCCTGAGATCTGACTCTCACCTCCTTAGAGTCATCCCTGAGGATCTGATTCTCACCTCTCTCCCTAGACCCATCCCTGAGGATCTGATTCTCACCTCCCATGCTAGTCATCCCAGAGATCTGACTCTCACCTCCCATGCTAGAGCCATCCCTGAGGATCTGACTCTCACCTCCCTCCCTAGACCCATCCCTGAGGATCTGACTCTCCTAATACAATCAAATAACCAATATTCTTCAAACCTTTCCCAAGATGTTGGAATTGCCAAAGCCACAGGATACCTGCCAAGGAGAGCTGCAGACCAGATGTGGAACCAGCCCAAGGGAGAGAAGTGTGTTGTAGTCAACAAAGCTGGAAGGAGTTGTAGTGTTTTGATATCAGACATAGATATACAGGATTTGGACTTTGCCCTGCTGGTTTTCAGTGTTGCTTTGTTTCAGTATTTCTTCATTATGCTCCTTTTCCTTCCTTTTGGAATGGTAGGGTATAATGTGTACCACTGTATATTGGGAGTATGTGATCTGCTATTAGATTTTTATTTTACAAGAGATAAAGAGTTTGCCTCTTACAGTTAAGAGATTGCCTGGCATCTCAGAAGAGACTTTAGACTTTTAAACAGTGTTGAAACTGTGACAGACTATAGTGACTTATATGGCTACATGTATGGGGGGGCAGGGAGTAGAATGTGGGATTTGACTAAGAATGCCCCCCATGAGCTCATACATTTGCACATTCAGTCCACAGTTGATGAACTGTTTGGGAAAGATTAGGAGTTGTGTTCTAGTTGGAGAAGGTGTATCCTAGTTGGAGAGAATGGTCACTGGGGGTGGGCCAGCTCCAGTGTTTGTGTCTGGATCAGGATGTAAAGCTCTTAGCTACTGCTTCAGTGACAAGCCTATCTGCTTTCCACCATGATGATAATAAACTAAGCAATTCCCCAATCAAATACTTTCTTTTATAAGGGTTGTTTTGGTTATGATGTGTCTTCACAGCAATAAAACAGTAACTAAGAATCTTATAAGGCAAGTGCTTTATGAACTAAGCCATTCCCAGCTACTTTTAAAAATCTAGTATTTTTATTTTATATTAACTTTTTAAGTTTTGCATAATTTTGTAGTGTTTCTTCCTGAAGAAGAAAGAGGCAAAAGAGTGAGAAGGCAGATGGAGGGACAGAGGGATGGACTAACAGACAGATACATAGAAGATAGACAGAGACATAACACTGACTAGGTCAAGTCAATACTCTAAATTTTTGACAATGTAGACTCTTAATCTCACCTTGCCACTTGCCTTTCAAATACAGCTGTCATATATATTATATCTATGTCCATTAAAATAGTCAGGACCTGGAAGCAACCTAGATGCCCCTCAACTGATTCTGATAGAGAAAATGTGGTACATTTACAAAATGGAGTACTACTCAGTGGGGAAAAAAGCAATGGAATCTTGAAATTCACAGGCAAATGGAACTAGAAGAAACCATTCTGAGTGAGGTAACCCAGTCACAAAAAGACAAACATGCTTTCATCCAGCAGCTGGTGGAAGCAGAAGCAGATACCCACAGCTAAACACTGAACTGAACTGGAATCCAGTTGCAGAGAAAAACGAGTGATGAGCAAAGGGGTCCAGACCAGGCTGGTGAAACCCACAGAAACAGCTGACCTGAACAAGGGAGAGCTCTTGGTTAGTTCCCAGACTGATAGCTGGGAAACCAGCATGGGACTGCTCCAGACCCCATGAATGTGGTGACAATGAGGAGACCTCGGAAATCTACGGGGCCTCTTGTAGTGGATCAGTATTTATCCCTAGGATAGGAATGGACTTTGGAGCCCATTCCACATAGAGGGATACTCCCTGAGCCAAGACACACAGGGGTGGACCTAGGCCCAATCCCAAAAGATATGATAGACTCTGATGACACCCTATGGAAGGCCTCACCCTCCCTGGGGAGCAGAAAATGTATGGGATAGGTAGGGTGTTAG